TACTATTGAACGGCAACTGCAGTTGTGTTTAAACAAGATAAATAAATGGTGTCTTGAAAACGGTTTTAAATTTTCTAAATCCAAAACCAATTGTATACATTTCTGCCGTAAATACAAACCGCATAAAGACCCTGAACTCTCTCTAAATGGCACACCCATTAAAGTTGTGAAGGAGGCCAAGTTCTTGGGTATTATTTTGACTCGCACTTAACGTTTCTGCCACATATTAAATCACTAAAACTAAATGCCTGAAGGCACTTGACTTGTTGAAAGTTGTTTCCAACACAAAGTGGGAGGGATCAAGCTACCCTCCTCCATCTATATCGCTCATTGGTCCGCTCGAAACTTGATTATGGCTCCATCGTATATGGTGGAGCTTGCAAAAGCAATCTAAAACTACTTGATTCTGTCCACCACCAAGGTCTGAGACTTTGTCTTGGATCTTTTAGAACTTCTCCTGTTGATAGTCTCTACGTCGAAGCAGACGAGCCTTCTCTTGCCCATCGACGTATAAAATTATCTTTACAATATCTTACAAAACTATATTCTAACGAATCGAATCCTGCATTTCATTGTATCTTTAATCCTCTTTATGAGGATTTGTACAACAAGAAATCTTCTCTCTTGTTCCGCCCTTGGGGCTCAGAATGAAGCCACTCATTACTGCTGCCGGCATTGAGCTGGAGAATATAGCTCCTTCTCGTCTTCTTTCTTCTCCTCCTTGGCAACTGGTGAGGCCTGAAGTTGACCTAACTCTGACAAAATTTAAGAAATCTGAAACTAATGAATTACAATATAAACAAGAATATAATCAACTAAAAACTAAATATAATACATACAAATCCTTATTTACAGATGGGTCCAAGGATGGTGGCGCGGTGGCATGTGCCACTGTCATTGATCCAGAACAATATCTTCTAGGATACCAGATAACAGCTCCATTTTTACAGCAGAAGCAAACGCCATATTAACGGCTCTTAAATATATTCAACGACATCCTAAACATAGACAGTACATAATCTTTTCAGATTCTCTTCGTGTCTTCAGGCTATTACAAATATTTCTTGTAAACATCCACTTTTATTGGAAATTATTGAATTGTACAATCAACTTGCCACTGGCCAATGCGACATCGTCTTTGTTGGTTACCCAGCCACGTTGGCATTTCTGGGAACACAATGGTTGATCTTGCTGCCAAGGCAGCACTCAACAAATCTGTGACACCACTTCTTATTCCTTACTCTGACTACAAAGCGTGCATTAGAACCTACATCCGTGATCTGATGCAGAAGAAGTGGGACACCCAAGTAGGTATCAATAAATTACATGAAATAAAACCCTATATCGGTTACACTTACTTGGGTTGTCAGTCCAGATTTGAAGAGGTCATCATGCGACGATGTCGTATTGGCCATACAAGGTATACTCACAAATATTTGTTAAATGGTGAAGATCCTCTGTTTTGTATCCCTTTGTGATGAGAGTCACAGTCAAGCATCTCCTGCTTGACTGTGTTGAATTCTCCATCATAAGGGATAAATATTTCAATGTTAAAACTGTTAAGGATCTTTTAATTCTGTTCATCTTCATTTAATTCTTGGTTTTTTAAAAGAAATTGATTTCATTAATGAATTTTGATTAATATATTCTGTATAAAGCTGTGTTTTAATGATTGGTAGTTTGATTAGTAACTTAGGTTGTTAGTGGCTGTACTCTCAAGGGGGGTTGAAGTATTGTAAAATTATTGTCCCCCTGAAAGGGTACGTAAGTCCCAAAACTTCGACAGTCAATTTGAACTTACCAGGATTTTTAAACGTAGCATTTTGTCATTTTAATTGTAGCTAACATTTTTTACAATCGCCAGCAGCTGAAGGGATGGTGTAATCCACCTAGGGTCCATGCAGGTAGCCAAGGTACTGTAAGTCCCCATGGTCCCTAGTATGGTGATCGACCTTCAGTTGTTGGCGATCTATAGCCTGTTTTTATCTTGTATTGTCCTAATAGTGCTATTAGTTTTAACCTTCCACACTAGTTTTAAATCTAATTGTGATATTCTAGTTGTTTTACTGTCCTTCGATGACAGGTTTTATAATATATACATATTCCATTACAATGTAAGATGTTCTCGTCACGATATGGCTGAAATATTGCCGATGTGACGTTAAATTGTAACTCACTCACTCATAATGACTCATGTAATGGTGAAATTAAAAATTATATAATCACTATGACATTGTTAGTTTACTCATGGCCAGACACATCAACCTGGTACCGGTAGAGATTTATATGTATTACGTAAACATTCAGTATTTCTTAGTACTTGAGATAAGATTACACAAATTTTCAGTGAGACGTTTAATCTCAGATCATTTTGTTAGGTAGCATTCACTAAAGTAAAACTTCAATAGATCGGTCATTGGCACACTGAAGCAGATTTCACTTATACTGCATTAAACAGTATGGGGATACATAAGGCATCATACCACGTATGTGGTAACAATACCTGATTATTGCATACATTTCGATGTACATCTTTCAGCATAAACAAGTTGGTTCAACTTGGTTGTATGTTGATTAATTTCCAATTTTTATATGTCCACAAGGGGAGATAACCGATGGGTGATGGTAAATGTACGCCCAACGACCTTTATCAAGGCCGTTAAGATTCACCAATTAACAAGGCCTGCTGTCTTGTTAATTAGCAAGTGAACAGTTAAAACAGCCTCTGGAAGGATAACCCAGTTCCCAGTTTATATGCCTCTTACAACTTCAACTTCTTTATTCTCATAAAACCACCATCGGTGGTACAAGAGCATTTAACTATACAATATTTACAAATGTGTATACATATGGACATGCGTTATGATGATGAGTTATTTATGTAACAATTTATACAAATGAGAGATACAAAGTGATAGACAGTTGCTAAGTTTAAAATTGACAGGTGATATGACCTTGCTAATAGTTGCTTAGCTTGCTTAGCTTTTGATTTTCTGTAAGAATTAAGTGACGTGCATTTAAAAAAAAGATAATGAAATTCGTCACCAACTAAGTTGCAATTACATAGTCTACATAATCTTTCTTCTCTCGGTATGTTCTGCCATCTGCCAGTTTCGATTGTAAGATTTAAATTTGAGGTTCTAAACTTCAAAAATAGGGTCATGTATAGATTTTGGAAATAGAAGGTATTTTTCAAAAAGACAGTGGGTTTTTAAATATTGAATATAGAAACCCCTTAGGGCTGGAACGTTTATCTTCTGCCATCTTAGGATAACTCTTGATCTGTTAAAATTCGCTTTGCTTTCTAAACGAGGGACATCTTGCATTTGGTTTTGTGGATAAGGTTTTAGTTTCTATGTATGTGTGAACGAGGAACCTGGCATTTTAACCGACTGAACTTTAAAGGTCACATTCAACAAAAAATCGAACATAATTAAAACACAGTTTTCACTTTTATTCATGATATATACAATGCATTGCTGCTTAAGAAAAACAAATAAACAAATTATCAGCCCATAATCGCAAATCAAAAGTGCAATATTTTATACTTCGGTTTACTTCTCTCGAAACGAAGCAGTCAGTGATAGCCGGGATACCGAACCCAGTCTGAGCCAGTGTGCGTGCACTCAACTGTAACGGAGATGATTTTATTGGCTCATTTACCTGTGTTTATGGCCCGATACGCGTTAAGTTCAAATTGCATGTGGTCAGTGATTGAAGATGTGTATTGGCATATTGTCATTAGCAGACAGGCAGGCAGGCAGACATATAGGTGTTAATGAAACAGACATTGAGTTTTGTTTGCAATCAATATGTTATTTTATGTAACGAGTACATTATTTTTACTTCTTTGTGTAGGCCTACATATAATCAGGATATATGCATCTTATTTCAAGCTCCGCGAACTCATTCACTGCGCATGCGTTATGAGAGCAGCGCAGCTGTTGAAACCAGTTTTCCCCAGTTTCGGGGAAATTCAGTGAATCGTTTGAACTCCGATTTCGCGGGCTTTTTTAATCGCGTTTTTAACAACTTTATAAGTTGAATTTGCATTTTTATGATTTGTTTCGGTAACTCCATACCAAAAGGTATCAGAATCTGCAAAGTTGTATTTTACGTTGCATGTGACCTTTAACATTGTTCCATGGTCAATATCGCAATATTGGCGCAATGGTAGTATACAGGAGTTTGTTTCAATTTTGATAGCCCCATTATTATGCAAATAAAATTATCAAAAATGAATAAATAATGTCATGCTCCTCCTTCAGAGGGAGGGAACATAGTTTCTATAATGATTCTTATATTTCCTTGTCAAAACAGAATTCACAAATCACAGATATTTTTGTGTGGGTTTGTGCGCATAATTTAATATATCATCCAACTTGATAGTAATTAAACAGCAGGCCGGTGGTAACCATAATGACTATATTGTTGGACCATTTGAAGAATGGATTGAATAGTAACACTTCCATGTTATCATTTGAGCTTCAAAACATTGGATGAAAGAAAACTATTTAGGATGAAATAGATCAGATCATTATAATGGCATTATATATACATTAAAGCGTCATTTATGCTATTATAATGATCTGAACTATTTCATCCTATATAATATATATATTATAGAAGATATATTATACTATATATTATACACCAGCCACCAGACACGTCAACTTAATTAATTATTGCTGGAACATTGTTAAAAGCGACGTAAACTTTCTCCACTTATCTAAAACATTCCATACTCAGTGTTGACCCATGACAGATCATTAATCATTCTTGGGATGTTGGTTTTGGACGGTGGTCCACGGACACGCCTTGCCTTTGGATGGCCCTTGACCTTGCAACTGTTGAAAAGTTTCATCAGTAAAGCCTCTTTGCTGACATCAGTTTCGTGACTCGACCTTCGGTCGCAACAATAAAATATCTGAAGCCACCTTCGTCAATATCACTTTCTTCCGATGACATGAGTTGAACATTCTTCAAAGCCTCTTCATACTTTTTTGTGGCTGGGGAGGTCAGCTTTTCGAATACCCTTCACTCTGTTACGACTCTTCTGAAGAAAACAAACCAATATGCTCATACTTATATTTCCATATAGGTAAAGTGAGTGTAAAACCAACGTGATAATTGAATTAATGGCTATTCTGATAATCTTATGGTCAGTAATATCGATAGTTGCATGTTTAGTGGATTTGAACACAGTTAATAGTTAATATTTATTGGACATGTTCAGCCTCTAACAAAAACTCAATGTTTAACAATACATAATCCCTTGTTAATTGATAAGTGAGTCATTTCAGTTAAGATTCACTAATTGACAAGGCCTAATCCCTTGTTGAGTGATGAGTGAGTCATGTCAGTTAAGGTTCATCAATTAACATGTTAATTGATGAGTGAGTCAAGTCAGTTAGGACACCTTGTTGTGTTTTTATGTTTACTTACTGTAGATTTTCTGGAGTATTTTCTCATGTCATCATTCCGCTTTGTTCGGCTGCCACATTTCTGTCTTGAGGCCCTTTCCTTCTTTGTCTGTAGACATCTTTTCATAGCAACTGAACAAAAAATGCAATACAGTGGCAGAAAACGCATGAATATTACATATCTAACGAAGTCATCACAAAATACAATGGTTAAATAAAATCGCCCATGAACATAACAGGTTTTGTACTACGCAACAAAAATCACTTTCGGAAAGTCAAGAAATGAGTATTATCATTACATTATAGTGGGTCTTGCTTATTTATGGCTGTGCAGTGACGCATGTAAATGCATCATTAACTGATTAAGAACTGTATAGCAAAACTGCAATACCTTGAAATTCAGGGCGCGGAATAGCAGGGAGTGCTGTCTTTAGCAAAGTTCCAAGCATAGTCCACAACTTCCTTGTTCTGCTCTGCTTCAAACCTGAATTTAAAGTTCTAAATTTATTGTCTTGTGGAAGACAAAGTTATCACCAAGAGTCAAGATTGTCGTAATTCTACCTGAAGTTGTATTTGTTGAACGGTTTAATGCATTGAAACTCTTGAATTTAGTGTGTATATATATATATATATATAGTATATTCATACTTGTATTGTGGATTTAGAGCCATCCCTCCAGCAGTCTCTGCATTCTGAAGTGCCTGCCTCACAGTTGCCTGTAAAAGATTTATGGGAAAAATACAACATTCCGATAAATATGACTTGCGTGTCAGCGGGCACGATATGGCTGCAATATTGCTGATGTGACAGTAAATATTAACTCACTCAAGTTGTGTCAGAACACTGAATCGTCTAAAATCATTACCAAAAGTTACTGAAATGGCAGCAGAAATACCTTTGCATGGTTAGTTGCTTCTGTTTGTTTCCAGTCACTGGTTCTTGACTATCCCTTCCCTCTGCAGTCTCTCCAGTTGTTTTGCATATCTGCAATCTGCAAATGAAATTACTGAAAATGACATACTTTCTTGCAGAGTAACTCTTTGTTTTGACAACTAGTACATTTTCCAAAACTGCCCCCACGTTCACACCTTTGATTACTTCTTTAAGTGGCATTTAGTAGCTGGTATGATGAGGATCAAGAACTTTTATGGATATGACAACTTCTTTGTTGCAGTGGATGCGACGTTTCGGTGTAGATTCTAACACCGTTATCAAGCAAATGATGCACAATGTATGCACAAGGAGAATTATATACATGACGGGTATGTGTTTATACAGTAGAGGAGGTTGATGTGCAGTGTGTTGACATGGGGCTTGTTGTGATAGGAGATGATTGAAGCCAGTGGAGAAAGGTGGGTTATTCTTGATTAGGCTTGATTAGTTGATCGTAAGCCGTAGGGATGTAATAACCTTGATCTCTGTTGATTAGTTGATTATTTAAGTAATAGACAGGTGGCCTCTCCGGAAGCTTTGTTCAAGTGGAACATACACTCAGATAATGTACAAGTGTATAACCGCAAAAAGAAAAACAAATAACTATAACTCGGTGATTTAGCGCTACACCATACCTGTCGATCTCTCATTGCGACATCTCGTCTCAGGGCACCAATAGCAATCCACATTTTGTCCTCCATCAGCTTCATCCTCCGTTCCATTATCTGTAGAATATCTTCCGTGTGTTGCTTCTCTGAAACTGTACAATTCAAAGTTATTTGCTGAAGAACTGCCTTGTCGTCCTGATGTCATATACTACCCATCAAAAGTTTAGACTCAAATAAAGCACTCACTGTATGATATGAATATATGGTTACATCAAAGATGAATTTCTCCAACAACTTTTGGGAACCAACTGCAAACCTTATGCAGATGAATTGCACGAGGATCATGCATCAAATAACTGAAAATCGTGTGCAAATATCGTGCATGAGAACAGCTGCGTTTTGGTGCAAAGTTTTGTTAAAATTCACATGCATCCAAAAAATCAAACATACCGAACCCAGTCAGAGCGGGTGTGATTGCACTCATGTGTAACGGGGTCGTTTTATTGGTTCATTAGCTGATGCACTCATTCGGTTTTGTTTATGGCGTAATAAGCCCGATAGGTGTTAAGTTCAAATTGCATGTTGTCAGTGACATTGAAATTGTGTGTTGCATATTGTCGTGAGCAGACAGGCAGGCAGATTGAGTTTTGTTTGCTTTACCACAATCAACATGTTTTTGTTTTATGCAACGAGGATATTATTTACTTGTTTGTATATATATAATCCTGATATGCATCGTGTTTCAAGCTCCGCGAACCTGCTCACTGCGCATGCGTTATGAGCGCAGCTGTTGAAAGCACTTGTTCCCCCAGCGCTAGTGGAAATTTAGTGAATCGTTTGAACTCCGACTTAGCTGGCTTTTTTCATCGCATTTTTTTCCAACTTTATGAGTTGAATTTGCATTTTTGATGACTTGTTTCAGTAATTCCAAAGGTATCAGAATCTGCAAAGTTGTATTTTTACGTTGCATGTGACCTTTAAGAATTTCACGGAGTTTCTTCGTTTCTTGAAATCTTGACAATAACCTTTTCGGCATTACAAATTTGTTTTACGATACTTCAGTTCATATGTAAACTGTACCTTCTAAAACGTGGAATATTTTGCAAACTCTATATCAGGACAGTTGACTGAAGTATACGTCGCTATTTTTGTTATAGCCAAGCACTTCCCGTAAAATGATAAGATAAAGTATATTGTTATATTAGTAACTAATTTGTATAATCCTGCTATATATAAACGCTACTTACAGCATCTCTTGTCAAGGTTAAACTGATGATCGTCTTCAGTTTCGCAGTCTGTAATTAGAAACATTAGCCTGTGACACACGTAAACATCAAATGCATAACCATCAAAGAAGCCACGTTATATTACAATTACTGGAACTACATTCAGAGGGAACACCCATTGAAACATCGGAGAGAAAGTACCTGATAACAGGAATGAAGCTGCTGCATTTGCACAGGCCGTTGCCGTAGGAGTAGACGTGAACGGCACCGCTGCTCGCTGTTGTCTGATTTTCATTCTTGTCGCTCGCGGACGTGATTGGTGACCGGATTTCTGAAAATTCAGTTGCATTCTTATACAACATTTTGAACCATGATAATGAAATAAACAATGGATATTGGTCATACCTTCACAAGTTTTCTTTCATCGACTCAGATAGAAAAAGTGAACACGTTTGCTGTTGTCTGGACAGAGAAGTCGGAATATATGTTTCCCTTATTTCAGGACATTAAGATTATCATTAGTTGAGATAGAATGAGGTTTGATTTCACTGACAGTAAGTACAGTAAGTAATACATGGTAGAAGTAGCATTTGACCATGTTAAGAATATGCAGTTGTGACACCGTAATTACCTGGTTGCCTTTGGCAGAGTCTGTCGTACTAGTTTGGTCTGTGTCTATTTGGTATTCACTCCCTGGAACACAAACATAGCATACAAGATAATGTACTGTCTCCGATTCAAAATAGGGATAGGACATATTTTGAAATATCAATTCGACATACAGATCTTTGGTTTACCGTTCTGGCCACTGTACAGTCCCACAGAAAAATAGCCGGTGTTAATTAGGGAGTATATTCAACCTGCTATCCTGACAAGCCCCAGGGAGAACTTTTATGACATCCATTAAAGGTTTGAACAGCCAATTAGTCGGTCTGTTACTTTTGTTTTCAAATTGTGATTCAATATACTAAATAGTCATTATTTGGTATGGTAGTCTTGAGTGTAACATTTCTCAACAACTGTACTGTTGAAGGAGCACATTGCATCATCAGGATTGCCTTACTGATATCTTGTGTAATCAATAATATACTTACCTGAGCTGATAGCGTCTTCTAAAGAGATATCGCTGACAGACATTCTGGACGGCTTCGTAGATGCAAAATCTCAAATTTACGATAGCACAAAATTCAGTATATTGATGTGCGATAATGGACTGCATTTTCCTATCGGGTGTTCATATATATATTCAGAACTATGAGTTCATCCAATTACATATGAGTTGCTCCTCCCATCTGCAGCTTCTCCAACTTTCTGCTGGTTTCATCTGGCTTGAATAACCTGTTACTGTATTTCGAAACAGTCCGGATGTCACTAATTAAAACCCTCTTCTCATGATTCTTAAATTTATTAGCATACACACCTTGTGAACGCATCTCAAATCTTAACGAATGTCCGTACTGTATTTGTTGGAAGAAATACAATGGGCAGTGCATACAACAATTTGTGGGAGCAAGTAAAGAAATATATGTCATACAAATGGTATCGTTGTTTGCCAGTCAGGCACGTTGTTTATTTAAGGGGTATGTCATGGATTATGAGGCTTGGTCCACTGGGCTTGTTTGATTGTTTTTACCAATATCGCACGGCCTTCACAACTGAGGGAATGTTTTTGTTTAGTAATTATATTGCAGTTCTCCATACAACTCCAAACATCTCCATGTATTCAGGGGTGGGGCTTTTGTTTCTGTTTTTATTATTATTCATAAAATGAATTTGAACAATTTTACACACTTTATATGAACACCGGTCCCACACAATTTGTAATACATAATTCAATTGAAGCATGTGGCGTCATATGAACTATCATATGAATGGCATATCAAATACAACAATCATTAAATAAACGTAAATACAGAGTTTCACTTTGGATGTCCGACATGCCATATCTGACTTCCAACTTCTAATAACAAGCCACAGGGACATTGATTATTGTGACATACACAGTTATGTATGTTATGTTTTATGTATTATTAGTAATTTATCGATTTATGCATGTTTAACATAAAAGGACAAATGAGAGTCCACTTGTGACATTGTTGGCTTGGACATCTCCCTCTTTCACTCCGGTGTCCTCTCACTAAGTCAGATTCTGTAAAAACTGGTCTCATAGTTTGTTTCAACAAAAGCTCAATTAGTGAGATTCGTGAAATTTCTATTAAAGTTATATGTATCATTTGCTTCTGCTTATGTTATGCTTATCTTCCAAATGTATGCCTGTCTGTGGAATCATCTGTGACTTTGTGTCCTGGTTTCTATGGAAATTAATTTGATATGAAATGAAACATGTAACATGATTCTTGTAAATGGTCACATTAATTTAGTTACACTGTGATTTATTAAAAGGAAATTCATTTGAGTATTTGTCAAACCCTCGCATCTTTGACAACACAACAAATCTACTGTTAAAGTGCATGAGATTTTCGTGAATACACCCGTTGCATAACACCGTTAATGAACACAAATGTTTGCGACAGGTGTTAATTGGAGAATGTACACTATTTCCCTGTTTGTAAAAGCACCGTAATGAGATTTGGGGTTATTACCTTCCAAAAGTCTTATGATAAAAAGGCTAGTGTGTGTTTTAACAGGCATGATTGGAGTTGAAATTCTGATGTTTCATGACATAATATATTTGGTGTTGCCACCATGAACTCATTAAGCCAGAGAGTCGCTTCACTGCTCCAACACCTGGAGCCCCTCACTGATTGCCTGGCTCGCTGTGGTGAGACTAATTAGTGTTCTACACACCTAGGGGATTAAACAGGAAACTGTCTAGTCATTCAAACAAGTCTTGATTGTTCAACTGTGTCGTAAAGGTATATGTTGAAAGATAGCAGGTGTGCTGTCATATATTGCAACGTTATATGTAATTTTATTGCAAGTTTCTCCTGTAGACCTTTGGCCGAATCGAACATTTATGTGTAATTAACATTTGTGTGTATTTCTTGTATGTAAGACCACGAGACATACATAAACAAACTGTCTCTCTCATACCTTTGCGTGAGGTTTAATTTTACGAAACATCTATTAATATTGCATATATATCTCAAGGACAGTACCAATATGAATATGAAGTAAGATGGAACAGATTCATACTTTGTCACTTTGTTTCATCACTGCAACCATATATTACCATGCATATACATTTTCCTTGTCTTGACTTGATACGGTGTCCTCACTTAGCCAGATTCTGTAAAAACTGGTCTCCCACAAAGCCAGAGTGGGGTTTGGCTGACTGGAGTTAGAGTTCTGATAACACTTCGTCCATATGAGTTATAGTTTGTTTTAACAAAATGCTCAGTTAGTGATATTTGTGGTTCATGAAATGTGTTTAAGGGAGATACATGTACACTGATATGTATTATTGATGCTCAGTATGGTATTACCCAGATGATGTCATGTACTTTTGTAATCGTGTTAATCGCATAAATGTTATTTTGTCTGGAGACACATAAATATATATGTTAAAACCAAATTTTGATTTTACAATTATTACAAAACGCACACTCGCATATTTCTTTAATCTTGTCACACCTGTAGATATAATATAGACTATAGCCCTTGAACAAAGGCTCACGCTTCGGTGGCTAGTGCTAATTACCTGGCTCGCATCTCTCACCTAGCCATAGTGCAATGTTGTTTCAACAAGACCTTTTAGGTGGGACTCTGGCTAAGTCAGAGTGAACGCTTGATACAAAGCGTCATGTGATGGATTGGATCACGTTCCTGAAAGACTCCTTACTATCTCAATTGCTCATTACAGTGGTTGATCATTTGTTATGTATGACCAATCGTTTTATGATATACCTGTCACATAGGAAGGACAGGTGACAGGTGATGGGGACGTGGCCTAAATTTCTGAAGGGAACATTTGGTGACTCAGCAGAATGAACAGAGATTGGTTATATCGTTAACCAATGGGTAGGTTGTGTTTCGGCTGTTTGAATGTTTGAACTGTCGTGTATAGTTTGTGTATTGTAAACATACAGTCAGTTATTATAATGATGTATGAAACATACAACAAAACAGGAATGGGTGGACTCTTTGGCAAGTCAGATCTCAGATATCGAACAAAGGTTTGTTAGTATCTTTAGATAAGTAAACCAATTATCGATTGAAATAATTAAACCATTGAGCAGAGATATTATTTATTATTATGTATTATATATATGTGATATGTATATATTCTGTGTAAACAACTTTTACTCGAATATTCAATTGCTAACGGCTGAAGGATAGTGTAAATCCAGCAAGGGCCATGCAGGAAGCAAATGAACTGTAAGTCCTCATGGTCCCAAGTATGGTGTTATATCTACAGTTGTTGGCAATCTATAGCCGGTTTCTATATTGTATTATCATATATGGGTAAAATATTCTAGACTGAACTGCACACGCTCCTACCCCCAAACCGAGAAGCATCGTGATTTAGGTTATTTCTATAATTAGCACAATATAATAGGCTAATAGGTATTTTACATACAATAATTACACATAATAATAAACCTATATCTTTAAAACAATAATAATGATAATGTTGAAGTTTGTTGCCATTTGCACAAACATATATCTTAGATATATGAACTAAACCTGGTGATAAGTCTTACACTTTCAGTACTAGTGTGACAGACAAGCCCATGCACAAAACATTCTTGAAATGTGTCCTCACCGTCAATAGTCATATTTACATTTTGCATGTGGCGGTCATCAATTTCAATCCTTCCGGGCATGTACCACACAGTCTCTGACCACAAACCCAAATTAGCCCACAGTCTTAAAACAACATTTCATGGTTAGTTGACTGTTTTTACATAATGATACACCACTAAAAATGTCCACCTCTTGTGGCAGGTGCTAATTAGAGGGTACCAATTAAATGTATATTCTACCACAATAAGCCCATTATTCCCTGACAAAGGTTCACTTTCATGACATGTAATAAACCTTGTCCTGGCAGACATGTGCCCCTGCCATGACTACATGGGATGACCTAACCTTCGTATTATTATCGTGAAACGCTCATAAAATCAGAGCACACATCGTGTAATTGTACTAGTTACTTTTTGTACATTGTAATTTCATTTGTTACCTGCCCATTTACTTGGTGTGTAAAGGCAGCACTAATTTGTAGAAACTAGGTCAATTATATCAACCACTGGTTTGCAGTAGCTCAGTCAATCTATCAGACCCTAATTTGTCGAAGTTCATCGAAGTTTATTCACTCTATCAACCACTGGTTTGTAGAGGGTGAGTCATTCTATCAACCACTGGTTTCTCGAAGCTCAGACATTACATCAACCACTGGTTTGTTAAAGGTAATTCAACCACTAGTTTCTTATAGCTCTGTCACACTATTAACCACTGGTTTGTAGAACCTCAGCCACTCTATCAACCACTGGTTTGTAGAGTCTCTGTCATTATATTAACCACTGGTTTGTAGAATCTCTGTCACTCTATCAACCGCTGGTTTGTAGAACCTCAGCCACTCTATCAACCACTGGTTTGTAGAATCTCTGTCACTGTAGTAATCACTGGTTTGTTGAATCTCTGTACCTCTATCAACCACTGGTTTGTAGAATCTCAGTCACTATATTAACCACTTGTTTGTTAAATCTCTGTACCTCTATCAACCACCGGTTTGTAGAATCTCAGTCACTATATTAACCACTGGTTTGTTGAATTTCTGTACCTCTATCAACCACTGGTTTGTTGAATCTCAGTCACTATATTACCACTGGTTTGTTGAATATGTGTCATTCTATCTCTGTCACTCTATCAACCACTGGTTTGTTGAATCTCTGTCACTCTATCAACCACTGGTTTGTAGAACCTCAGCCACTCTATCAATCACAGTGTGAACTGCTTATTGTGTTTCCGCTCCTTCCAGAGTCTAACATGGTTGACACATGTCATTGTATTAAAATAGCGTAGATCGATGCTCATGATGTTGATCATTGTCTGGACCAGGCTCGATTATTAATACAGACCTCCGTCATATCGTTGGAATATTGCTGAGTGCGGCGTAAAACCAAATACACACTTATTGTGTTCCCGCCCATTGCGCAGAGACAAAGAACGGTGTTTTATACATATTTACGTACGCTTCTGTGGGCAAACATGAAGCGTCTCTAAAATATGGGCAATTTCTCCACAAACTGTATTAATAGTGACAGAGGATGCTGTGATAAATAAATCGATATGCTTATGATTCGTAATGTCTCTGCAATAATGGTACTAACTACGATTGTATATTCTGAGGGAAGAGGCAGAAATGGGTTGTATTACAGTATACACTCTCAAGGTTATAAAAGCTGGAGGCGACTTGCTAACAAGAGGGTATGGTTTAATATACATATGTAATAGACAGCCTTCCTGAAGATAGATCCCCTACCGTGTGGACAGCTCACTCACTCACTTTATCAACCACTCACTCACTCACTCATTCACTCTAACAAAGACTGGTTTGTCAAAGCCGATATTATTGCACTTTGATGGAGATACAAAGCTACGTGCTGACAACAGGGTATGGTGTAACAGGCATATGTAATAGACAGCCTTCCTGAAGATAGCTATTCCACCAAGTGGACAGCTCCCTAAGTGGGTGAGTAAAGTGAGTGAGTGAGTGAGTGAGTGAGTGAGTGAGTGAGTAATAAACCATTAACTCACTCTATAAAAGACTGGTTTGTCAAAAGCCGATATTATTGCACTTGATGGAGATACAAAGCTACATACTGACAACAGGGTATATAATATAAACCTTGCTGAATATAGAATGCTTAATAAGTGTACAGCTCCCTAACTCACGCATACTACCAACCACTCGTTTGTGGAAGCTATATATAATTACCGATATTATTGCACTTTGATGGAGATAAATACATTGACTAGGTGACAGAAACCGAGTTGTTATTTCCAAGCTCTCAAAAGAAGAGAAAAAGCTCAAGAAAAGGGCGATAACTCCGCTTGGCTTCAAAGTGAGCCATTTATGTGAGGCGGTAATACTTTTTGTTATTCTGACAAATGAAAATAATAAGCAATAAATAGATGATGCTATCTGACACTTCCTTGGATGTGTAATCTTGGTTGTATTGGGAAATTTAGAAGTGGTAATGAGCCCCTGATGTGTTGTTCCGACAGTTTTAAATAAAAGCGACCAAAGTAATACAGGAAATCATTTCAACAATAATTGCTGATTCGTGCTTTCGGGACAGTTTTATCACATTAACTTCGCCTTCCTACCTGAATGAATGCCAATCCGCAGTTTCATCTGTTGTTCAGGTCGATGGCGAATTTTGAAAGACAGAACAGCATCTAGCAGGGAAAGCGACATCCGGGCAATTTCCCCGGCATGAATATTTCCATTCCTCACCGGAAGTCCTGACACCACCATGTAAGCATCTCCTATGGTTTCAACCTTGAAAAAACAGAACAATGTAAGTTCGGGTACAATACACATAGTAACCATCAACATAAGATGCAAGGCAAAAGAAAGCTAAAGTCCGTTTTTGGTGGTATAATTCGATGGCAAATAAATGTATTTTATATGGGCATAGTGGCAGTTTTTTAACATGATATGTGCAGTTTTACGGCGACTGCTTTCAACCAGTGATGTTTTCAGAAAGATAATTTGGTCAAATGAAACAGTATTTTTTACGAGAGTAGATACGTAGATACCGACAGACATACAGACAGACATATAGATAGAGAGTGTGCCTGTATGAATATACTATTAATGGGAACTGGATGTAGTTTTGATCTCGAATATGTTCAATGGAGTATTTCGCCAAATGAGTATGGTCAGTTCAAGGTAAAACACCGACCACAATGATATCATGGGAGTGGGCTCTAAACAATATTTATTTTCAATCAGCTGCTCAAAAAAGGATTTATTCTTTATCGACAAAACGATATTTTGTCATTACATGTTTTTTATCTTAAACCCAGATATTTAACAGTCAGCATCAAGCTATAGAATGATCCGTGTTTCTTACTTTATAGACATCAAAGTTTTCGATGATGGAATCGAACGTCGTGTAGAGGTCGTTCAACAGATCAATAGCCTAAAAAATTAAAAAAGTAATATATTATGGATTTATCCGGTTTCTTTGTTGCCCTTTAAAACAGTACTTTCCTGATACATGAAAACAGCCTATGAATCAGTTGGGTTGGTTGGCAATATTCCAGTTATATGGCGGCGTTCCGTAAATAATCGAGTCTGGACCAGACAATCCAGTGATCAACAGCATGAGCATCATGTCAATCACATAATTGGGATACGATAACATGTGGCAACCAAGTCAGCAAGCCAGACCACCCGATCCCGTTAGTCACCTCTTACGACAAGCATGGGTTACTGAAGACCAATTCTTACCCGGACCTTCACGGGTTATGAATCAGTAGGTCTTTTTCAGACAGATGTACGCACATTCATTGGGGCACTCGCTATAAACAGAAAAACCCACCTGCATTGGAGTACTAGCCGCGGACAACACAGTGAACCCACAGATGTTGCTGAAGTAGATGGTCACCTGTTCGCCTCAGCTGCTACGGATTCGCGACGGATAAGAGCTTGGGCGACTGATCTGTCGAGTTCAAGATCATAATTAGTGACAGCCTTTGACAAAGAAACCTCCCCTGTTACACCGTTAATAAACCCTTTGATGTCGTTTATACATTGAATATGGAACTGTGGTCGACTGTTATGGATGGACGCGGATTGAGTGAGTGAGTGAGTTGGTTTTGATGCCGCTCTTAGCAATATTCCAGCAATATCACGGCAGGGGACACCAGAAATGGGCTTCACACATTGTACCCATGTGGGAAATCGAACCCAGGTATTCGGCGCGACGGGCGAACGCTTTAACCGCTTGGCTACCCCACCGCCACTGGATGGACAGGTAAACCAAGACATAAGTGTGCCATACGATGCATGCATTGGTTCAGAGCCTCTAATAATTTTACAAAAGGACCAATCAGAAAGCGGGTTACAAATCAGCCGCAGTATTGGATTGGCGATGTAAACAACGTGGAATGATTACGTTAGAGTTTGCCAAAGAAAAATCCAAATTCTTAAACTTTTCTGTCTGATACGCAAAAGAAAGCCCTGAAATCATTCTTAAGGAGACGGATCCTTTGAAACTGGCGGTGGTCCGTTGCCTTTGCCTTACCTGTATCTCAACATTTGGTTGGTTGGTAAGTAAATATTAATCAAGGGCAGATAATTGCGATCACCAAATTTACAGGAATGGAACTGAGGTATACTGTAAGCGAACTGAAACACGAGGCCTTGAGAAATAGAATATTGCTCAGCGGGGGAAGAAAAGAGTACGAACAGGCTTGGATATTTTACTACTGCTTCAATCAGTCGTCGACTACACGTAGCAAAGGGTGTTGGCCCAATCACACATAAAATAACTGTTCCAGCTTCCAGGATAATGACCAATTCGGCTTAAATTCGCTTCATGATTCATTGATTGATTGTTGTTTAACGCCGCACTCAGCAATGTCCCAGCTATGGCGGCGGTCTGTAAATAGTCGAGTGTGGACCAGACAATCCCGTGATCAACATCATGAAGATTCGCTTCAAATGGATGTTATGTTAGTTTGTAAACTGTTCCAACAGAAGACTTCAAATGATTTTCACATGACGTGTCACAGAGCAATCATTTATAGCCCAACCTGAAGAAAATAATAGCACAGCAAACGGTAAATCAATTAATGTTACGGATGAAATATAACTTGGAAAGGTGTCAGTGTAATTTTCATGTTTTTGTTAAAAAGATTTTTTAAATTTATTTGTAACGAGGCTGTATGTTATGAAAATCTCTGTTCCTCTCTACTTGATTGATTACGCAGGTGACAGTCGACTTCTCGTTGGCTGAGATTGCACAACACTAAACTAAGCATTCATTGGTCATCGTTATCCAATGGAAACAATTGACTGAAATCTAAAATTTGTTTTTGGGCGTCAAGTTGCACACAGCGAAATTAGTATATGCTAAGGCGGTGTGTTATAATGCAGTTTTAAGGTGTAGGCACGTTTCTTAACATTCGCAAATAATATTCCAGAGGGCAGTTTGGGTAGCCATCTGGTTAAAGCGTTCGCTCGTCACGCGGAAGATCCGGCTTCAATTCCCCACATGGGTACACTCATACACCAAAGCGTTCTCTCGAGCTTCTGCACCAGTAACATGTTGCGGCTTCATTATTTCATAGCTTGAGTGAGTGAGTTTGGTTTTACGCCGCTTTTAGCAATATTCCAGCAATATCAAGGCGGGGGACACCAGGTATGGGCTTCACACATTGTACCCATGTGGGGAATCGAACGCTTTAACCACTCAACTACCCCACCGCCCCCACACAACTTGAGAGGTACAATCGAATATGCTGTTACTGCAAAGATTTCAAAAAGCGTCACACAACATTTGAGGTTTACAAAACTTAGGGTTCCATCCACAAAGTACTCGTAACATGAAGTAAGTCGTAACTCAGTAGCTTATCATAGGCCAACGACCGCTTTGTGGATCGGGACTCAGAGTAAAACTTTCAAAAGGTGTTATGGTGGAAAAGTGAACGACAATACTTTGACTTGTATCAAATGTTTCAGATGATCAATTGATTTGCCTTTGCGTGTGTTTGTAACCGGTATCACATGGTGTGACCTATTTGCTAGTAATTCATATACATATGCTCACGGGCAGTCGGAATCTGATTCTAGTAGTGATTGTTTGTAATTGGAATAGTTTTGTGGCTTTTATACGTCTACTCACTTTGCAACATCATGTAGAGAAGATCTTCTGCCTTCCATAATTGAAGAGGGAGTTGAAGGACAACGTTCTAAGAATACTAAGATACAGATGCACCAAGTATGAGCACAATTTGTGCATTTGTGGGTAAAAGTTGTCGCCCCTTTGACAATGTGCGTGGCTGACGTGAGAAGGCCTGAGACCACAGTTACCCCCTAACTTTTACCGTGACCCGGAAGGAAAATCTGAGAATATAGTGCCTTGATATGGAGTTTGTTGCCCCTGGCGTCGTTGTTGGTATCAGTAGTGAGTGGGGTACCCATCTCCCCAATATGTAGGTGTCAGTAGTGAGTGGGGTACCCATCACCCCCAGATGTAAGTGTCAGTAGTGAGTGTTGATCCTATCTCCCCAATATGTAGGTGTCAGTAGTGAGTGGGGTACCCATCACCCCCAGATGTAAGTGTCAGTAGTGAGTGTTGATCCTATCTCCCCAATATGTAGGTGTCAGTAGTGAGTGGGGTACCCATCTCCCCTGGATGTAGGTGTCAGTAGTGAGTGGGGTACCCATCTCCCCAATATGTAGGTGTCAGTAGTGAGTGGGGTACACATCTCCCCTGGATGTAGGTGTCAGTAGTGAGTAGGGTACCCATCTCCCCAATATGTAGGTGTCAGTAGTGAGTGGGGTACCCATCTCCCCAATATGTAGATATCAGTAGTGAGTGGGGTACCCATCTCCCCTGGATGTAGGTATCAGTAGTGAGTGGGGTACCCATCTCCCCTGGATGTAGGTGTCAGTAGTGAGTGGGGTACCCATCTCCCCAATATGTAGGTGTCAGTAGTGAGTGGGGTACCCATCTCCCCAATATGTAGGTATCAGTAGTGAGTGGGGTACCCATCTCCCCAATATGTAGGTGTCAGTAGTGGGTGTTGTTTCTATCTCCCGGTTTAGGTATCAGTAATGAGTGGGGTACCCATCTCCTAATTATGTAGGTGTCAGTAGTGAGTGTTGTTCCCATCTCCCCTGGATGTAGGTATCAGTAGTGAGTGTGGTATCCATCTCCCCTGGATGTAGGTATCAGAAGTGAGTGTTCTTACTATCTCCCCTGGATGTAGGTGTCAGTAGTGAGTTGGGTACCCATCTCCCCTGGATGTAGGTGTCAGTAGTGAGTGTTGTTCCCATCTCCCCTGGATGTAGGTGTCAGTAGTGGGTTGGGTACCCATCTCCCTGGATGTCAGTAGTGAGTTGTGGTACCCATCTCCCCTGGATGTAGGTATCAGTAGTGAGTGTTGTTCCTATCTCCCCCGGATGTTGGTATCAGTAGTGAGTGTTGTTCCTATCTCCCCTGGATGTAGGTATCAGTAGTGAGTGGGGTACACATCTCCCCTGGATGTAGGTATCAGAAGTGAGTGTTCTTACTATCTCCCCTGGATGTAGGTGTCAGTAGTGAGTTGGGTACCCATCTCCCCTGGATGTAGGATCAGTAGTGAGTGTTGTTCCCATCTCCCCTGGATGTAGGTGTCAGTAGTGAGTGTTGTTCCCATCTCCCCTGGATGTAGGTGTCAGTAGTGAGTTGGGTACCCATCTCCCCCGGATGATGGTATCAGTAGTGAGTGTTGTTCCTATCTCCACTGGATGTAGGTGTCAGTAGTGAGTTGGGTACCCATCTCCCCTGGATGTAGGTATCAGTAGTGAGTGTTGTTCCTATCTCTTCTGGATGTTGGTATCAGTAGTGAGTGTTGTTCCTATCTCCCCTGGATGTAGGTATCAGTAGTGAGTGGGGTACCCATCTCCCCTGGATGTAGGTATCAGTAGTGAGTGGGGTACCCATCTCCCCTGGATGTAGGTATCAGTAGTGAGTGGGGTACCCATCTCCCCTGGATGTAGGTATCAGTAGTGAGTGGGGTACCCATCTCCCCTGGATGTAGGTATCAGTAGTGAGTGGGGTACCCATCTCCCCTGGATCTAGGTATCAGTAGTGAGTGGGGTACCCATCTCTCCCGGATGTTGGTATCAGTAGTGAGTGTTGTTCCTATCTGCCCCGGATGTAGGTATCAGTAGTGAGTGTTGTTCCTATCTCCCCTGGATGTAGGTGTCAGTAGTGAGTTGGGTACACATCTCCCCTGGATGTAGGTGTCAGTAGTGAGTGTTGTTCCTATCTCCCCTGGATGTAAGTGTCAGTAGTGAGTTGGGTACACATCTCCCCTGGATGTAGGTATCAGTAGTGAGAGTGTTGTTCCTATCTCCCCCGGATGTAGGTATCAGTAGTGAGTGGGGTACACATCTCCCCTGGATCTAGGTATCAGTAGTGAGTGGGGTACCCATCACCCCCAGATGTAAGTGTCAGTAGTGAGTGTTGATCCTATCTCCCCTGGATGTAGGTGTCAGTAGTGAGTGGGGTACCCATCTCCCCTGGATGTAGGTGTCAGTAGTGAGTAGGGTACCCATCTCCCCAATATGTAGGTGTCAGTAGTGAGTGGGGTGTTGAGTGCCCATCTCCCTGGATGTGGGTGTCAGTAGTGAGTGGGGCACCCATCTCCCAATATGTGGGTGTCAGTAGTGAGTGGGGTACCCATCTCCCCTGGATGTAGGTATCAGTAGTGAGTGGGGTACCCATCTCCCCTGGATGTAGGTATCAGTAGTGAGTGGGGTACCCATCTCCCTGGATGTAGTGGTGTCAGTAGTGAGTGGGGTACCCATCTCCCCTGGATGTAGGTGTCAGTAGTGAGTGGGGTACCCATCTCCCCTGGATGTAGGTGTCAGTAGTGAGTGGGTACCCATCTCCCTGGATGTGTAGAGTGTCAGTAGTGGGTGTTGTTTCTATCTCCCCCGGTTTAGGTATCAGTAATGAGTGGGGTACCCATCTCCCCCTAATATGTAGGTGTCAGTAGTGAGTGTTGTTCCCATCTCCCCTGGATGTAGGTATCAGTAGTGAGTGTGGTATCCCATCTCCCCTGGATGTAGGTGTCAGTAGTGAGTGTTCTTACTATCTCCCCTGGATGTAGGTGTCAGTAGTGAGTTGGGTACCCATCTCCCCTGGATGTAGGTGTCAGTAGTGAGTGTTGTTCCCATCTCCCCTGGATGTAGGTGTCAGTAGTGAGTTGGGTACCCATCTCCCCCGGATGATGGTATCAGTAGTGAGTGTTGTTCCTATCTCCACTGGATGTAGGTGTCAGTAGTGAGTTGGGTACCCATCTCCCCTGGATGTAGGTATCAGTAGTGAGTGTTGTTCCTATCTCCCCTGGATGTTGGTATCAGTAGTGAGTGTTGTTCCTATCTCCCCTGGATGTAGGTATCAGTAGTGAGTGGGGTACACATCTCCCCTGGATGTGGTATCAGTAGTGAGTGTTGTTCCTATCTCCCCTGGATGTAGGTGTCAGTAGTGAGTTGGGTACCCATCTCCCCTGGATGTAGGTATCAGTAGTGAGTGTTGTTCC